TTTCTCAGTGTTGGGGAAGTATTGTTTTAGACAACCTGTACTACTCTATATTCAGTTTTTCATTTTCCCCTGTTATTTCCAAAGCAGTGCATCTGATTGGTTTTTACTAAGCGAAAAAATCAACTAAGACACTTTGTTAAATAATACTCTTCTGTATGCCCCTATGTCACCTAGTGCGACTTAGACTCTATGGTGGACTCCAGGGTGCATTTGATTGTGTTACTTTGCCTTGGACAGGTAAATGTAAATACTTATTCCTGCCCAAAGTTCCAACCTGCCTATGCCAGCGGATTTGTCTGGAGAACAAATTATATATTAACTCACAATTTATTTAATAACATGCTATACAAAACAAAATTTTGGCACAAGGTCTTTTTTTATGGTTTGAGAAATCATCTTCATATATCTTGTGTAGTAAGCATTTGAAAGCACAGAATATAATCTGGGCTGTTATTTGCCTTAGGCTGCCTAAAGAGTTAAGGCTTGCCTATCCCACTGCCCATGCCACTGATCTTTACTCTCTTGCAGTGCTATACTGGTTAAAAAAATCTCTTCAGCAACACACTGTAAGTGATCCTAAAGGCTTGGATTTTTTTTCTTTTTAAAATAATAAACATGTTATACTAACCTACTCTGTGCAATGGTTTTGCACAAAGCAGCCCCGATCCTTTTCTTATTAGGTCCCTCGCTGGTGCTTCAGGCCCCTCCCCCCTGCTCACTGCCCCCAAAGCAAGCCACTTGCCGCTTTTTTTGTATGATATACCCATTGATCCTGCCAAACCCCCTGCTTTCCTATTTTAAAGTGACCATGCTTTGCATTGAAGCACAGCTATCCCAGCTTGGTCATTGTTCTTCTTTCTTTCTACTTGGAAGTACAGCATGCCTACAGTCCAGTGGTCAGACTTGTGCTGACATGCCCCCCTGCACAGCTCTTCACTGGGAAGATTAGTGTACTGTTGTTTATCTGCCTCTTGCTGACATGCACCCCTGCAGTCCTCATCCACTCTCTAGGTCCCTTATGCAGCTGAGAACAGAAATCATGTGATCACTTATAAAAAAAAAGAAAAAAAAGTATCTAGAATGTTTTGCCTTGCATTTCTATTTTAAATTGAATGGCTAATTGTTTAGGAAAATGGTTTGCATATATGTTAAAAGTAAGCTAATATCACAGCAATAATTGGCCCTTCTGTGGGTTTAATACTACCAAAAAAAGCCACAGAGGAAAAACAGTGACTGCGCTGGTTAATTAAGTCCCTTTGAACTTGCTGGTAATTGTAGCGCACTAGGATTTATCTCTCAGTAAGGCGTTTCAGCCCTCTAAAACATCCACTGGGTGGTGACATCACATCTAAAAACAGAGATATGTGGAGATTCCCAGAGATCCCCTAGGTCCCAGCTGACTCCCTAGGGGATTACCAGGAACCTTACAGTGGCCACTCAGTGGCCACTCAGGAGTGAATGTGGGGTCCTGTTACATGCCTCATTCTCATCCTCTTTTGTGAGTGTAATTATTGAGAATTTATAAATAAACTGGGTTATACTAGGGTGGATGTGGGCTCTCTTTCTCTCTCTGTTTTTAATTGTACCAAAGCTTTTCAAGTTCTTGGTACATCAGCCTTTTGATTAATGCACAGGATTAACATGTACAGTATATGTTTATTACAAATCAGGATGGCATGATTTCATTAACGTTGTCTCACCTACAAAAGAAGTTGCATTTTTTCCTCTTGGTCTTTCGGAAAGTTTTGTGTGTCCAGGAAGTGACAAAAAACCGAGACTGCTGAACAGAAGCCTAAAAATATGAGAAAAGGACGTCAGACTTGTTTTTCAACATTCAATGTTCAAACTACCCAAAGAATCAATACGTGAAATACTGGGCAAACCAGACTGTAATAGTAATTAGAAGAGGATGGACTCCATGCAGTATTAAACATTAAACCTTGTTTGAAGTGTTTATTACAGAGAATTTAGTAATTAGAAAAGTAACGAAAATAATGGTTTGAGGGAAATCAGTCACTTTGCCCACTCAGGTCACAGTTTTCAATCTTGTTTGATATGCTTGTAGGAGAAGTTTCTTATAGTATAAAGAATTCAGTAGTTAGAAAAACCTCAAAAAAGGAAGGAAGGAAATCTGTCAGTTTGCTCATTCAGTTCACACGTTTTCTTGACCATGCCACCCACTGATGTTCACGTCTGTCCTGCAGTCCTCCACTGCACTGTCAAAACCCTTTAGAAACACACAATACTTCTGGGTATGGGGAGCATATGAACTTCCCCTCCTCCTCTGAGGATGCAGTGCTGGGCCCTGATTAGCCAATCTCCAGGCCCAAACACTTTCACGTGGGGGAACACGTGTCAATCACTCCATGTAGGATCCAACTCTGACCAACAATGAACTGTCAGGAGTATATAATGCTCATGTTCCATGGCAGCTTCTGGTCTCATTCCAGCATCCTGCTTTTGTACTCTCCGTCTGATGCTCAACCTGCAGGGTGATTGCTGGACACAGCCCCTGGGTGGTGCTCAAACTTGTTTTAAGCCTGCCAAGCCCTCAGTGTCATGCTGGTGATAGAGTTTGCAACACGTGCTTCAAGCTCTCTGCTTTCGTGCCTTGTTCCTGTGCCTTGACCTTCATTTTCCCTGCCCTCCCAACTAGTTTGGATTTCTTTGTTGCTGACCTCCGATCAGATTTTGACTACGCTTAGAACGCCTGCCTTTTGACCATGTATTTGACCCTGACTACTATTTGAGCACTGCCTGCCCTGAGCCCCGATTGTCACTGGACTACTCTGCCTGTCTGTCAACCACAAGTACTTGTTTGCTGTGCTCAGTTCACACCTGCCCCAGCTTAGTAGCCAGACATTATAGCATTGTGTATAAGACCTGGAGGCAACCGAATGCTAGTAAGCCCGCTTATGGGAAAGGGGGCTGCTATAGGCGAAGAACACAGAAACCAGCTATAGTGCCTGATCACCAACCTAGAGGCAGGCATAACAGGAACTTACAAAAGGATTTTACCATGGTTCTGAGTGTGATGACGTTTTCAGTGGGGGAGAGTGGGTTGTGAGCTGTAAAGAGAACTTGCCCCTTTGCCTGTACCCGAAGCTCTGATCTGAGCTAACAAACTGCAGCCAATCAGAGTGGTTCCTGATGAGCACCATTACAGCTAATCAAGGTGATTACATGCAGGGTGAAGGTTTTTAGTTTTTTTCCCATTTGTATATTACAAAACCTGAGCAGTTTATCTGAGCAACATACCAAAGAAAAGACTTATATAACTTAAAAAACAAATTTAAAATGATTTAAGAAGGCACATTTGCCTTAGAGCTGTTGTCATGTTAACTGGTGCATAATAATTGTCACAAGTTAGCCTGCAGTTTCTTGTTTGTGTTCTTACCTCCATGCTGCAGTGCTGATCCTGATCTCTTTCACATGTGTGTTTGTCTGTGCTCACCTATGGGTGTCATCTGCTGTTCTCTGGGTTTTATTTCCTTCCCTTCCATCACTTCCTGGGCTGCCTCCTTGTTTGCCTGCCTACATAAGACATGCTCAGTCTAGACCACTTTGCCTGAGCAACGTCCTAGTTGTCTAAGCTCCTGCCTGTATCCTCTATTGACTACTTGTGTACCAATCCCGGATTCGTTCTTTGACCTTGCTTGTTTTCCACCTGTCCTGACCTCGGCTAGTCTATCGGATTTCCGTTTGTCTCCTCCCATAGTACTGTGCTCCCACAAGTGGTGTCTTCATCCTCAGCTGGCCGAGCCCAGGGGCCGTGACCTGGTCCCAGCTTGCTGTAAGTCCATCCCCACCATCAGGGGCTCTGGTGAAAAAGCAGGCTGGGGCTTAGACTCCATGCCCTGGGGAACCCCAACATAGCAATCTACAAGGGCTCACTACCACAGGTGCTGACACTAAAACACTAATGCTGCTAAATTTGATCTGGACACCTATGCATCAATACCCACTGATAACGAGAGGATTAAAGCCACCCCAGGACACTTTTACTTTATAAAATATATTCCCATTTATTCCATTATTAATTCTTACTTAATCATAATTACCCCTAACCAATCCCCCCAACTTTTTTTCATTGTTTTTGTTAAGTAATTTTTGGTCACTTTGTGTGATTTGTTTGTTTTTGTAGCACAGCACTACAAAAATACACCTAATTTTTCTAAAAAACAAAACAAAAACCACACCCTTCTTCTGGACCAAATGACCCCATGAGCCCTTTTCAACCCCTATAAACAAGCTTCTCTAAACAGGTGGTCCATTTTACCCTTCTCTTAGGCTTTAACTCAGTTATGGGTGTTTCTATGGTTAGAGATGCTTGCAGCTGAGAAGACATAATGATGAGTCAATATGCGTGAGTTTGTATTTCAGCAAAAAGATGGTGCAAGCTAATTTCTATATGGGAATAAAGAGTTATAACATGGACTCTATTTCTGTAGTCAAGATCATATATTTATAACAGAACAAAACTACCCTTTAAAAACTGGTTTGAAAATTCTTTCACATTTGAGTTTTATTGGAAATAGGGGAACACAGATAATACAGATAGAAACAATAAGTGTACCGCTCTGTTCCTTGTTACAAGACTATTATGCTTCCTCAAACTCTCTCTCATGCTGTGTCGTCGGCGGATCAGGATTTCCTTGGCTTGTTTTTCACTGGTTCCACTTGCAAGATTGTGCCTGTTGTAGGAGAGTGTCTGGAAAACATAATTACATTGCAGACTTTAGAGACTTTGAATGTACAAATCAATAAAAGGATATCTACATTCACATTAACATTTCACCTACTGAATACGGCAAAGTTTGACAGGTTAGTGGTTTGGCTCTTAATGTACAATTTATGTTAAGAATATATTTATCTGATAAATGCAATAAGGACAATATGTGAATAATGTTCTATTCGGTGGACTAGAATTAAAAAGGAAGACATAAAGCACACTTACATAAAGCAAATCTTACCCGTTGACGTATCTGATAGAGATTCCTTGACAAGACATCTCGCATTTCATTAACTTCAGATGGAGAAAGAGCTTGCACTTTATTTTTTTCATATGTTCTGGTTTAAAGAATCAACAATAAGGTTAATAAATGTCATTCTTGGATTCAATAGCAAATGCATGGACTAATTGGATTGCTTATTTGAAAAGACTGTAAAAACATAAAAATAAAAATACCAATAATACCAATTAAAATGATACATTACTGTTAAAGTAGTCTAAAAATTGTGCACAAGAGTGAATGAGTGAAATCTGACTGCTTGCATGTGTTTGCTGTAGATGTCTGTAACAACTTTGATCTTTTGGGTTACATTTATCATATCCTTAACCTCAGCCTAAACCCAAATCATGCAACGCAATCAGTACATCACTGCCTCCCCCCAACACAATCACCCACCTAATGCACACTTGGAGAGGATGGAGGGAAAAAAAGGATGGAGCCATTGGGGCTGGTTACTAAAAAAGTAGAGGCTGTTCACATGGCAAAGTAAATGTTAGTAAATAAAAACAGGTATATTGTTAACATAGGATTTTTGGTAGCACATAATGGAAGTAAACACATTAATTTACTAAGTTCAGTTAAAGCAGAGATCCACCCAAAAGGGGAAGTTCAGCTTTAAGCACTGGTCCCCCATTTCCTGTGAGGAATTGCCACCTTTGGGGAGCGGCAGGGGGGTTCCCGATTTTGACAGGTACCTGATTTTGACAGGTATTCGCTCCCACTTCCGCTGCAATTGCCTAGGCGATCACAAGCAGAAGTTGTCCTCCCCCCTCCCTCCTCGTAGTCTTCTGGGACAAGGTCCCAGAAGACTACAGCACCATTCACAAGGTGCAGCACTACTCACGCATGTGCAGTGGGCACCTGACTGTGAAGTCATAAGCTGTCACAGCCGGGTGCCCACACTTAAGAGGCTGGTGCCAGGGAGCGAGGACAGCCAGTGAACCCGGCTGCGGTGAGTACACTGCAGGATCATGGGACAGGTGAGTGACTGTGTTTTAAAGGTCAGCAGCTACAGTTTTTTTTTTTTGACTGGAGCTCCACTTTAACAGCCTCTGCTCCTTTAGTAAATAATGGGCAAGCATTTGTGACATAACAAGCTAGTGGGGTTTATTTACTAAAACTGGAGCGTGCAAAATCTCATGTAACTCTGTAGAGAAACCAATCAGTTTCCTGGTTTCATGGCAAAGCTTAATTGAACAAGCTGTTACAAGCTGATTGGCTACCATGCAGAGCTGCACCAGATTCTGAGTGCATCAGTTTTAGTAAATCTACCCCAGTGGCTATGAAAAAAAAAAACATTTTTGTTTCAGCAGCTATTTACCCATATCTGATTTATTCCTTTCTCCCGAGGATTATGTTATATTTTGAAAATATACCTAAACATATGCTTTATGGATCTATGTGACTCCATCAATGAAAGCACCATAAATCAGCCTATGTACACATATTCCTAAACTCTATAATTTTCCTGATAATGACTTTATACTACGAATGTGTTTTTTTTCTGCTGTTTTCCTTTGTCACTAACAAAATACATATTATTGACATCTACAAGATGAAGAGAGCTGGGTCTATATTTATAGACTGGTAAATTCACATTAGCCTACAGCCCCAGGTAGCACACCACAGACTCATCAAAATTCCCATCAGACTAATGTAAGTGCATTGTGAATCAATGAATAACCACCTGATAAGACAAACAAGAGACACATTTTCATGAAATCTAATTTGTGTAGTACTTACCCCAATGATGATAAAGATGGGTCCCTACTCAAGCCAGATTCCGCCATCTCAATGGCTTGTTTAATTTCTAGTTTTTTATATAATGACACAATGCTTGATTTTGGCTCATTTTCTCGTACCAGTAGTCTGCGCAGATATTTTTGATCAAACTGCTTAAACCTATGTTTGGCAGAAATCGCATGTTAGTATTGTATCACATACCTGTAGTCTAGATCAGATACAAACTGTAAAATTAAAATCTGTATGGAAATGTTTTCTAATATAAATCATATTAACTGGCAATCTAAAATGGTTTTCCAAACTATGCTACAGGTTTTTCCCTGTAGAACAAACTCTAGGTGGCAAAGTGGAAGAGCCCTGTCCAGCATGTTCCTCAGTTGGGACTGGATCTTGTAGTTTCACATTTTGTCCAGCTCTACATAGAGGTGTAATAATACACAGAGTATAACTATGATTTAAAGGCAATGATACATCAGTAAACTGAACTTCTACACAGTCAATGTAACACCAGGATAGGATGATGGTCCCACTCCACTGTTGTCTACTAACATTACTAATCACATCTCTAAAATGTCAAGGTGACCATGTAATTTAAAAAAAAAAAACTAATAGGGCAAGCTGGTAAAAGAAGACTGTAAATACTTACTTTTTCACAACGTTGAACGTTGCTTTGGTCCTGAAAAATGGTCCCCTAAAGCCCGCTGGGAATCTGAGACATTCAGGGGTGGCAATCTGCTGGATACCCAGCAGCTCTCACTGGCTCCTCCTGTTTATCTCCATGCAATAAAGCTGTAGTAGCGTAAAGGTTTGAGGGGTTTATGTGGTGAAGATCGACACTGCAGGAAGTGTCAGTTTCCCTACAGCCTAAAAATAGAATTCCAACCCTATTCAGTAGTCAAACCCTACCTACTCTTAAAAATCCCCCCTCCCCTCTCCTAAAACCTATTCTGATTAACTTATGTAAGAATAGATCTGTATACTTACCTATTTTCAGTCCACTCCAGTACAGTCATGTGGTCTCCCCTGTGTCAGTCAGCAGTGGCTGCAGGGGGATGGAGACAGTGCTTGACAACAGCTGGTAATGTCTGAGAGATGACATCATCCAATGCTCCTATGGCCCATCTGTGGTCAGCGCACCCTCCTCTCCCATGCAACCGACACTGGCTGACAGAGAAGAGCAGATCACATGACCATATCAACTGGCTTGAAAATAGGTATACAGGTAAAAAGGTTTACAGATGTTTTCTTACACAGGTTAGTCAGAATTGGTAAGGGGGAGGGAGTATTTTTAAGAGTAGTTAGAGTTTGATTGGAATTCTAAATTTCTTAAGATTGAAGTAGTGCGAAAAGTATGTATAGCATTTTAAGAGATCTTTTTAGTTAATGACACTTTAAGGCAAATAATGTCACGATCATGGCCAGGGCACATTGTAAGATGGTATTTTGTCTAAAGGAAACTTGTAATGAAAGAAATACTGTACATGGACTGCTATCACTCTATTCTCTAGTGCACTGCTGCCAACATATTTTTTTCTAAGTACAGGTTTTCTTTAATGAGTATGTCACCTTACACATTATTTAACAGATATTTATTACAGAGATCACAAAATAGAAGGTAAGAGCAGTGTACTCATCTGTATATTAAATGCAAGTATGTATGCTGTATATTTACTATAAAGCCCTACAAACTGTAAGTACTATCCTATGGTTTCATGCACACTGGGGCTTTTATAAACACTTTTCACCTGGCAGCTTCAAAAACGCACATAAGCCGCGATATTACAAACACATTTAGGCATTCAGGCAAAGAGGTAAATGCGTCTAGCACTTAGGCATGTTCACCTGCTGCAGAAAATATTGGGGCCAATCACATGCCTCTCTGATGGTACGGCATGATGGAGTATCTGTCTGTATTTCTCAACATTGAGGACACCATTGATCATGACCAAACTCCATTTGTAGAAATGCAGCAACAAACTTGCAAGGAACCTCCATCATGTTTCACTGTTGCCTGCAGATGCTCCATATTGTACTGCCCTCCAGCCCTTCGCAAACAAACTGCCTGCATTTAGGGTTGTTTTGCCATTTTTTCTGCCAAAATGCTCCTTTTTTAATTGCACAAGTGTTGTTTTTTTATGCCTTTAAACTCCTATTAACACCTGTGTTTGCATGGACAATCTAACATGGAGGGACATTTAGAGGCAAAAAAAAAAAAAAGTAAAACACCTGTAAATCAGGCGTATTTGAGCTCAAATGTGCATAAGACCTAGTGGTTTGGGTGTTGCAACATAATTAGTTAATTACTTTAATGTTGGCAAAAACATTTCAAGGTAAATGATATGGAATCATAGCATTTATTTAATGTAATACAAAATATCATTTTTACGGTTTTAACCTACTTGTCTTTGCAGTAGTTGTGTCCCCAGTGACCACATACATCCTCAAGGCCTGCCTTTATGTGATCCAAAAACTGGGGATGAAATAACATTTGGTTATTGACATGTACACATCTATAATTCTAAATATACTAATTAACATCACTAATTAGAAGACAAATGCCAATCTGCAGCTTTCCTTCGATAGTATTCACTACTTTTTGTGCCAATTCACAATCAGTACAGATCTCTACAGCTTTAAATATTCAATGTGACTAAAATTAATGTTTTTGCTCATGCAAAAGATGATACAAATAATTATCTGTACACACAGTATATCTACTGCAACAATGGTATCATCGCATTCAAGTTGTGCTATAAAAAGCTTACCCTACAGTTCCAAGTTAATAACAGTTTGCCATGTTCAAGTGTACCTAGAAATGGCAATCATGTTTTACAAAGTGTAAGACAATTTATTTAGAAATTGTTAATAAAAAAAGTAGTTTCTACTTTTTTTATTGCCAGAATAACAGAGGTCATAATAATAATTTATTTGATAAATGTTTCTTCTCAGTTCACTCTTAGGGGAGTATTCATAAAAGAAAATGTATTTTGCGAGTGTCTCAACATTCATGCAAGTGTTAATAATACCTGTGATGTTTGTAATATGTGTGTAATAGTTTCCTGGTTGCCTTTTACCAAGCAAGTGTAGTATTTCCTATCAATCGATCCTAAGAGAAAAATAGCTATAAGAACATTCGACCATGAGAGTTAACGTTCACCAATATAAAAAATATCCTAACACTATAGGCCAAGAGCATTTTACCAGCAGGGGAAAAAATGAGTGAGACTTCTGAACTGTGTGTTGTCTACGGAGAATCCTTTGTGAACGGCCGAACGATTGGGTGTTTGGCCAAACATTCCTCCAGATGCAGTGTGAAGTTAAACATTTAGCAGTGATATTATTAGCATTGCCAAATGTGTCAGCTTCCTCCTGGTTGTTAGGGAGCCAAGATGCACTGGTATCCTAAGAACTAGTGACTTATCTTAGACCAAGACATTCAGCCGTCAGTCAGGAATTTACAACTGACAGGTGAACGTAAAAGCAGCAGAACAGTGTAAAAAAAACATGAGGTGCTCCCCCGCCAAAAAATTTATGCCAGGACTTTTAGGTCTGTAAAGATTATAGCAGGGACAAAAACGGCATAGAGGCCCCACAATTCCATACCATACCCTTCAAATTCTGGTGTGGATTTTAATGGGGAGCCTTGTGCAAAAAACAATAAAAAAGTATGAGGTCCCCCCACTCTTTGTTTACATTCATCTGTTAGTCAGTAATCCCTGGCTGACAGCTTAATGTGTTGTGTGGGGATGTGTCACTGGTTGTTAGGAAGGTAAGATGAGCTGTCGCAGAATAATACCACTATTAAACACTACACCTGCAGATTTATTCTGTTGAACACCCATTTGTTTGGCCGTTCTCAGAAGATTCTCTATAGCAGTGTTTCTCAACCTTTTTTCAGTCAAGGCACCCTTTAAAAGTATGCACAGTCCCAAATCTAAAATGGGGTGCCTCAAGACTGTCCATGATTTTAAAAGGGCACCCCATTCTAAAATGTGAAAAACTATTCTAATAGTTTTTTATATAACAGAATAACATCCACACATGTAGGACACCCAACATTAGAGGGGATTTATTGTTCCAAAGCAAATACACTTTTGTACACTGGTACTGACTAGTATTCCAGTGTTTCTCTTCTCCCTCAGGTTTTATCCATCACTAAGCTAATGTGACCCCAGCACTGATGGAAAGGGGCCGGGGGGCAGGGGGCAAACTAGGATGCTGTGCAGGCAGCTGACATCCTCTTTATCAACTGATGATGTCATTGGTTGTCAGGATGCTGGCAGCTAGACGGCCATAATGGTGCACAATGAAAACCTGTGGCTTTGTGTAACTAAAAGGGAGGCTTGTTTCATCCGCTGGCTTGTATACAAGTTTAGGGCAATTTTTAGACATTTTGCCAAGGCACCCCTGAAGAACCCCCAAGGCACCCCAGGATGCCTGGCCACCCTGGTTGAGAAAGGCTGCTCTATAGATTGTACACAGTTCAAAGGTTTCCCTCATATTACATTCCCTGCTAGGTGAATGCTCTTATCCTATAGTGTTAGGGTATTTCCTCGATTGGTAAATGTTAACTCTCATATTTGAATGTTCTTACAGCTATTTTTCTCTTAGGGCTCATGTACACAGGGCATTTGGAAAACTCTAGTGAACGATGGAAACTGACTGCTGGAAAACGTAGGTTAAGAAACGTCAATTCAGACGTGTTTGCATACCACGTTTATGCGCGTTCGCCTTTAGAAGCGTTTTTAAAAGACAACCTCAGGAGACCCTCCCAAATACCCAGAATGCACTGAAAAGCAGTAAAAATAATTAACTATTTCAGACATTTTGTGAGAAATAGAGAGAGCAGAAGCAGAGAGAGCAGTATGTGTTGAGATTACCTGTCTTTTCTGGTCGTATTCACTATGGATCCCATCATGAGCATAATGTGGCACGTTCTACCATTTTTTGCTAAACGTGAAACCGGGAACTGACTGTGCTGATGTACTAGGTCCATTTGAATACATGGAAAATGCTTTGTATGCATTTCTGATGATGAAAAAAGGCTCTGTAAAGCATTTGGATATGGACCAGTCAAAAAACGCTTCTAAGCGCAAACACTTATAAACGTGGTTAACTGCGTTTACAAGCATTTGGAACGCCGGTAAAATCTACTTCTGAACACAATTTTGGTGCGTTCAAAAAAACGACTGTAAACTCAACCGCCTGTAAATGACTGTAAACGACTATGTGTACATGGACACATAGGAAATCATTAGGGAGAGTTCAGGGGCTGCTGGAAAAAATGCTGAACAGCTCCTGAATGTCAGTTTAGCAGATGCAGTGTACATGAGCTCTTAGGAGCTAATGCTAGGAAATGTTCATTCAGCCAGTAAAAGCCAACAAGAAAACGATTACACACATATTACAAACATGTATGACTTATTACCCTTGTGAAAATGTTGAGGCATTCACAAAATACATTTTTGGTAAATAGACCCCTTAGTGATATTTTAATTATAGGTGGAACCTGATCGGCTGAGGAAGCCCTTGGCTTTTTATAAGCCTTTGATATTTCAGCATTAAGTTTTGGGTGTTGCTGACCAGCTTTGTATGTTCCAGCAACTCCTTTTACATTCCCCATAATAAAAAACTAAATGCCATATGCAACGAATATAGTAGAAATCTCTTAATATACCACATACAGTGAAGGAAATAAGTATTTGATCCCCTGCTGATTTTGAATGTTTGCCCACTCACAAAGAAATGATCAGTCTAAAAATTGATTGGTAGGTGTATTGTAACACTGAGAGACAGAATAGCAACAAAAAATTCTGCACTGATTTGCATGTTCATGAGGGAAATAAGTATATGATCCCCTATCATTTAGCAGGATTTTTGGCTACCAGGTATCTTTCATACAGGTAACAAGCTGAGATTAGAAGCAGTCTCTTAAAGAGAGTGCTGCTAATTTCATTTTGTTACCTGTATAAAAGACACTTGTCCACAGGAGCAATCAAACAATCAGATTCCAAACTCTCCACCATGGCAAAGACCAAAGAGCTGTCCAAGGATGTCAGGGACAAGATTGCAGACCTACGCAAGGCTGGTGACAACAGTTGGTGCAATCATTCGCAAATGGAAGAAACACAAACCAACTGTCAGTCTCCCTAGGTGGACCATGCAAGATCTCACCTCGTGGAGTGTCAATGATCATAAGAACAGTGAGGAATCATCCAAGAACTACACGTTTGGATCTTATCAGCTGGGACCACAGTCACCAAGAATACAAATGGTAACACACTATGCAGACAAGGATTGAAATCCTGCAGTGCCCATAAGGTTCCTCTGCTCAAGAAAGCTCATCTCAAGGCCCGTCTGAAGTTTTGAAGAGGACTGGTTGAAGTGTTGTGGTCAGATGAGACCAAAATCGAGCTCTTTGGCATCAACTCAACTCACTGTGTTTGAAAGAGGAGGAATACTGCCTATGACCCCAAGAACACCATCCCAACTGTCAAACATGGTGGTGGAAACATTCTGCTTTGTGGGTGTTTTTCTGCTAAGGGGACCGGACCATTGCACCACATCAAAGGTATGATGGACGGGACAATGTACCATCAAATCTTGGGTGAGAACCTTCTTCCCTCAGCCAGGGCATTGAAAATGGGTCGTGGATGGGTGTTCCAGCATGACAATGACCCAAAACACACGGCCATGGCAACAAAGGAGTGGCTCAAGAAGAAGCACATTAAGGTCCTGGAGTGGCATAGCCAGTCTCCAGACCTTAATCTCATTGAAAATCTGTGGAGGGAGCTGAAAGTTCGAGTTGTCAAACGTCAGCCACCAAACCTTAATGACTTGGAGAAAATCCCTCCTGAGATGTGTGCAAACCTGGTGGCCAACTACAGGAAACGTCTGTGATTGCCAACAAGGGATTTGTCACCAAGTACTAAGTCATGTTTTGTGAAGGGATAAAATACTTATTTCCCTCATGAACATGCAAATCAGTGCATCATTTGCTAGACTTGCATTTCTTTTGAATTTTTTGTTGCTATTCTGTCTCTCACTGTTAGAATACACCTACCATTTGATTTATAGACTGATCATTTCTTTGTGAGTGAGCAAACATTCAAAATCAGAAGGGGATCAAATACTTATTTCCTTCACTATATGTATTTTAACTGACTCATAAAATGACAAAGATAATTTATATTCAAATATGTTATCGACAGTAATTAAAACGTTTATAAAAGTAGAGCAATACCCGGCTATGGATTTCATCACTGATCATCTGCTGCTTTATATTTGCCTTCTTCACATTTAAAAATTCAACCAGTGGACGAATAGTAATGCCCTAAAAAAAATAATCAAATAGGTGCATATCAACAATCATGCATTATTCATTACTTCCCCACTACTGTTACATAGCATATTAATAAATAGGTTATTTTAAAACATTGTGCTGGGCCATACCTTACCAGACTTCACTCCTCCCTTCTATTATTACTTGCATTTGGCAAAAATCATCTGTGCTCCTTTCTTATTTAGTTTCACTTTGTTGCTGGTCCATGACTTTCCTGACTTAGGCTGGCCCACTGACCTGCCTCTTTTTAAAAATGGGTGCTCCTAAGGCAGAACTGAATCCTTACTTAGAACAGACTGTGAGCTGGTAGTGTTTTATCACAGGCAGGGTTTTTTTTTCTGGGAAAAAGTACACCTACCTGCCTGCTTACAGCATTCTCCAGCATGTAAACTAAGTTGCACATGTGCAGCTCATCTCACAAAACAGGCACAGGTCCATGTCTGCTGAGATGGGTTACACCATCCGGTGCCAGCCAATGAAGATGCCAGAAGACTGCCACCCAGGGAGAAGATAACATGAGGACCTGAACTGTTTGAGAAGAGGTAAGTTTAGTTTCACATTAGGCTCCATTCACACTTGTGCGACTTTCATTGTGCAATTTTCATTGTGACTTTGATGCAGCTTTGGATGAGTGTGACTTTGGCGGAACTTTGGCTTTGACTAAGGATGATTGTTTGTGCTCTACAAAGTCGCACACAAGTATCACACAGGTCACATGTATATCATTCAGGTGCGACTTTAATGCTACTTTGGAGGGTTTACATTGAATTCTATGGCCCTCAAGTCACATAAAAGTCAGACCAAAGTAGTGCAGGAACTAAACTGCTCAAAAAAATTAAAGGAAAACTTTTTAATCAGAGCATAGCATCAAGTCAGTTAAACTCCTTGGATATTGATCTAGTCAGTTAAGTAGCAGAGGGGGTTGCTAATCAGTTTCAGTTGATTTGGTGTTAATAAAATTAACAAAAGGTGCACTAGATGGGCAACAATGAGACAACCCCCAAAACGGGAATGGTTTTACAGGTTGAGGCTGCTGACATTTTTTTCCCTACTCATCTTTTCTGACTGTTTTTCACTAGTGTTGCATTTGGCTATGGTCAGTGTCACTACTGGTATCATGAGGCAATACCTGGACACTACAGAGGTTGCACAGTCAGTCCAACTCATCCAGGATAGCACATCAATATGTGCCATTGCCAGAAGGTATGCTGTGTCTCCCAGTACAGTCTCAAGAGCATGGAGGAGATTCCAGGAGACAGGCAGGTACTCTAGGAGAGCTGGACAGGGCCCTAGAAGGTCCTTAACCCAACAGCAGGACCGGTATCTGCTCCTTTGTGCAAAGAGGAACAGGATGAGCACTGCCAGAGCCCTACAAAATGGCCACTGGTGTGAATGTCTCTGACCAATCAGAAACAGACTTCATGAGGGTAGCCTGAGGGCATGGTGTCCTCTAGTGGGCCCTGTGCTCACTGTCCAGAACCATAGAGCTTGATTGGCATTTCCCACTGAATACCAGAATTGGCAGGTCCGCCACTGGAGCCCTGTGCTTTTCACATGAGAGCAGGTTTATCCTGAGCACATGTGACAGTCGTGAAAGGGTCTGGAGAAACCGTGGAGAACGTTATGCTGCTTGTAACATCGTTCAGCATGGAGGCTATGGAGTGACACACAGCTCTCTACAGGCTAGACAATGGCACCCTGACTGCCATTAGGTATCGGGATGAAATCCTTGGACCCATTGTCAGACCCTACACTGGTGCAGTGGATCCTGGGTTCCTCCTGGTGCGCGACAATGCCCGGCCTCGTGTGGTGAGAAAATGCAGGCAGTTTCTGGAAGATGAAGGAATTGATACCATTGAATGGCCCCACACTCGTCTGACCTAAATCCAATAGAACCCCTCTGGGATATCATGTTTCAGTCCATCCTACGACGCCAGGTTGCACCTCAGACTGTCCAGGAGCTCAGTGATGCCCTGATACAGATCTGGGAGGAAATACTCCAGGACGCCATCGTCATCTCATTAGGAGCATGCCACGACCTTGTCAGGCATGCATTCAAGCACATGGGGGCCATACAAACTGCTGAGTACCATTTTGAGTTGCTGCAATGAAATTTCAGCAAAGGGAACTAGCATACTGCATCATTTCTTCACTTTGATTTTCGGGGTGTCTTTGAATTCAGTCCTCTGTAGGTTGATAATTTTCATTTCCATCAAACGATGGGGCATCCTTATGTTCCTAACACATTACCCAGTCCATATCAGTATAGATATCCAGCATGATATTTTTCCCCAATGAGATCTGATGTGTTTTCAAAGTGTTCCTTTAATTTTTTTTTAGCAGTCACTGTGACTATAAGTTGCACAGATATGAGTGGTACTCATTGGGAAACATGGGGTGTGAATGGAGTCAGTTGGTCAAGACTTGGCTCAGAAGTCAGGTGTCAGGGCAGGAACGCTGGAATGGGCAGGCAGGCAGGCCTATGGTACGGTCACGCTGCGACTGACGACAGCCACTACCCACAGACCAGAGTCCCTCAGGGCGCGGAGTCTAAGCCCCAGGCTACCCTTCACCAGGGCCCCTGATGGTGGGGATGGACTTGACGCAGCCTGAGACCAGGTCGCGGCCCCCGAGTGACCCCAGCTGCGATAAAGACTGCCGCCAATGGCGTACAGCTGGTGGGAGCTAGATGGGAACACTAGTAATCAGACAAGCCGGGTCAATAACAACAGAGCAGACAGTACTAGACGGTAGGCAAAGAATACTCAGGTCACGGGCCGGGTTCAGCAACGGAAGGTCAGGTAAAGGGTTAATGCAGAGAGTAGTCTTGTCCAAGCCGAGTCGGTTACCAGGAGAGCAATGGGAACAACACAAGAGCTTGCAACAGGGCAACATACAGGACACAAGTGCAGCGCACACTTGCGGACAGCAGGTTTAAATGTGCTCAACCACACCCTTCTGAGGAGGAGCCGCAGAAGCCTGAAGGCATAAAGGTTCCCACCATGCTTTACAGAAAACCAAGATGGATGCCAGCTCATGGAGATGCACAAGCTCTGAAGAAAGGTAGGACCTTGACATCAGGCCCCTCTATCAGTGAAACTAAATCAGACAAGCATCCTGCTTCTCCTTTCACTGTCAAGTCACACGGTGGGCCTGGTGACAGGGTGAGGGTGATAAGGAGACTCTTTAAGTTGCAGCAGAGAAAAATCATGTCACCTGTCCAACATGGCTGGGTCACCTGTCCTACATGGCTGTGTGGCATAGCTGTGTAAATACAGGACTAGATGGACAGAAAAAAAACTCAATTTGCAGGTTAAACAGCTCCCATATATGTATTTCATCTGTGAATTTAGCTGTCTTGGGTTCAGCTTTAACTAAGACAAAGGACTAAGCGATGTATCTCATTGTTGTTTCATGAAGGGCCTTGGGCAGGGTTCCACTTTAAGTGCTGATTCTCACATGTGCGTTGCAGATTGAAGTTCAGATTTCACAGCTAATTGACACAGTAACTGTTCACAAGTTCAGGTCAGGTTTACATCAGGTTCAGGACAGGATTAGCTCAGGATTTTCACATCCCGTTCACACATGTGCAATTTAGAAATGGTTCCCATAGAAGTCAAAAGCCTGTAATCCGCACTTGAACTGGACCTCACTGCTCTGAAATCATACAAGACTCTTTTTTAAACCACACTGAAACGGCACCGGTAGGCCACCGGACATATGTGAACAGGCACCATAGGAAGCAATGTTATTTCACATGTCATGCGGATTGGATGCGGTTCAAACCACATCCAAACCGCATATATGTGAACGGCCACTTAGTTCAAATTAGAAAACTACTTCATGAGGTTTTGACAAATCCTACTGAATGCCATTTTCAGTCTCACCTGTATAAAAACTGTGAAAAAAATCACCACAATTACTGCAGTGATAAAGAGTTTCTTTCTTGGAAAAGCAGCAGAATCAGGGAGGAGGAAGACTAGTGAAAAACATATTGCACCTCGAAGCCCTCCGTATGCAATAATGAACTGGTCTTTTGTAGTCAGTGTTATTGTGCGGAATCTATTAATTATCTGAGTCAGGACAAATACACCTAAAAAAAAATAAAAATAAAAAACATTACTAGCTACAGACAGCAAATAAAATTATACATGCACTTTAATATAAATCTTTGGTTAGAGCATACACTTACATTTAATAAGGACTCTTTCACACGGGCAGACTGATTGGGTCCACCTGTCCATTTTTCAGGCAGACCCGAATTAACCATCTATTGTTCTCTATGGAGCGGTGGATGTAAACGGACATGTGTCCGTTTACACCTGCCTGCAGCTGATCCGCTAAAAACAGACGGATGGGGGATCCGTTCCTCATCTGTCTGACCAGGTGACAGCTGGATGCAAAGGGACAGGGGGTCCTTTTACATCCGACCGCCCATAGAGGAGAGTGGGCTGTGGCAGTGTCTGCTCTGCATAAGCAAAGCAGACAGGGACCTGTCATCTGCCTGCTCAGAGGGATCAGCAGACATATACCCCACTAAGCAGGTGGATCCACTTGGCGGAATCTGCCCCTGTGAAGGGGCCTAAGATCGATATTGTAATAGGACTACATATCCCATGGTACCTTGCTGCCTGCAAGCAGTGATTCCTGTACTGACTCCGCCTCTTGAAACTCCCCCTTTCAGTACCTCTATAGTTCAGAAGGCAGGCTCTGTGAAATGTGTAGCACAGCAGTGCCTACTCACAGGCCATAGTGAATACTTGTCACAGAATTCAAATGCATGGGAATCTTCACAAAGTTAATTTTAAGGTTGTTAAAATTATCAGGAGCAGGCTTGAAATAATTGAAAAACAATATGGAATATATATTTTACATTTTAATCATAGATATGCTTTAAAGAAAACATTAGGACAATGAGAGGATATGGTAGAATGAGAGAACTGCAGATGGAATGTTGGTAGGATTTTGTAATTGAAAGACCACATGAATCTAATATAATAGTAGAAATGATTCACATAATTCTATACAGCCAGCAGGTAATACACTTAAGGGTATGTATTTACAAATCAGTAAATGTGACCTTCAACAAACATTGCTTGCAGTTGTATCTCCCAGGTGCATATGTTTTAAAGTGGAACTATTTGCTATGTTATTTAGAAATGGTAATCATGCCTAAAAAGTACCCCCTGAAATAAAAAGTACCTTATGTCTGGAATAGCTCTTGCAAAACAGTAGTAAACTTCTCTATATGAAAGTGTTCCTCCTATACCTACAGCCTCATACCTGTGTATCTGCAGCATGAGTTTTACAACACTGCTACCTCTGTCAGCTAATCTCAGGGGATTTGGAATGAGATTTGGTGATGTCATTATTGTTTTGTCCACTGTTCTCTTTGCTGGAGGCTCTGACATGAGGAAGCAAAACCCTGCCTCTACCAAGATGGCTGCCTCCACACAAAGGCACAGTGTAGAACAAGACATAACGAGTCACTGACTGTGGAAAAGATCATCTGCAAAGAGAAGACATGTAATACTTGTGACTAGTCTTTTGCCTTTTTGGGGAACTGCTTCCAGAGTTCAGTTTCTTTTAAAATGATATTCTTTTGCCCTTTTACAAGGCCACATACTTACATAGAGAATGCCCAAGGAAATTTGATAAGGTTTTGGCAGTGCTGGCTGGTGGACATGTCTACTGCAGGATGAGACTTTCCCATTGACTCATATCTAATTGAGTTGGTTTACATGTCATCGAGTAATGTACTCTTAATTGTCTACTTGCTGTTCTGAGGAAGGATCCTATTGGGCTAACACTCCGGTTATGTGATCTTCCGATGGAAGGGTACCTTGTGGCCTACATAGGCTATAATCTTTTAAATTTTGTGTTTCTTTTTTTTTTCTCCACAGCGGACTGTTTATGTTACTGTCTGATAATGAAGGGTGGTTGCACGGGGCATAGTTAGGTTATCTTGGTATAGACAGGCCGGGTGACCTTGTTTTTTTCTTGTATGTTTTTGTAGTGTACAACCAAAAGAAAACAATAAACAGTACTTAAAAAAAAAATAAATATATATATATATATATATATATATATATATATATATATATATATATATCCACAGGTGTACCTCGGTTTGCAAATGAAAATCCATTGAAAAGAATGCCTCTGTTTATGATTTTTTTACAGTTTTTTTTTTCCAATACGAAGTATATGTTGGTGCCGATTTTTAAATGCAATTGCCGGCTTTTTTTTTTCTTCACTATAGCTCACAGAATTAGCTGTCACTTTCCCCGGAGCTAAAGGATACTTTGTTTCTTTTATCTCAGGAAACAAACTAAAAGGAAACATTGTTTCTTTTAACTCAGGGAAATAAACTAAAAGGAAACTTTCTTTCTTTTAGCTGGGGGGAAAGTGACAGCTGATTCTCTGAGCTATAGTGAAGGGAAAAAATGCCGGTAATTACATTTAAAAACCGTCACGGACTTATAGTGACAGCGACGTTTTAAAAAATGTTTTCTTACCTCCGGAATGGATTAATTGGTTTTCGATGCATTACTATGAAAAACCGTGTTTCGGTTTACAAATTTTTCGCAATACGAAATGTCCTGGAGAACGCATTAAATTCGTAAACTGAGGTACACCTGTATATATATATTCTCTGATTTACCTGCAGTGAATGTTTGTTGAATGTCACATTCAATGCTTTATCATTTTTTCCTGCTGATCAATACTTGGCACCAGCATTGGTATGAGTCCAAAGTAAGAAAAAAGAATAGCTTTTAAAAATGTATTTCACAAGTCCTGATATTATAGTAAGGAAGGATAAGGGCCACAAACGTGGTGAAAGGCAACTGCACCACTGTATTATAACATTTTCCATTATGCATTACATTACTTTACATTATAACTGGTATTTTTTCTTTTTTACAATGGAATTACAATTGTTTGTGGCTTAGGAGGATTCCGTTTGTCTAATAATTTATGATCAAGCCTTATAGTAAAAGTATAGTTTACATTTAATGATTACCTACTAAACTATACCAGAATGTTTAATGTTACAGTAGCCGATAACATCTAAGACATGTTTTCAAGCAGTAGTAAACTCCACTTTGTAATTTTTACCTACAGGTAAGCTTATCATAAAGCTTACCTGTAGGTAAGCTCTGCTTAGGAGATATTCGTGTTTGTGGCGGTGGGTGACGTCACTGGTACATGCGCTATGAAGGAACGGCATACTTATGCCATTCCTTCAGAGCTCTTTGCCTTGGCCATGACATCATCGCGGCTTGGCTTTTCAAGTGGCTGGAGCCTGCGAACCCAGAAGGAAGACCGGGTGAAGCTGGAAGCCCCGTCGGTGACAATGCGCCGCCCATTTTAAGTTAAGTCCCTCATAATGTGCTAGTATGCAATGCATACTAGCATATTTTGATGTTACTTTGCAGAAGAAACATTTTTTTTTTCTTCAAAGGTTTACTACTGCTTTAAATTGCATGACGTAACATAATTATTCAATGTAAAAATTCCGTTTTTCATTTAAAAGAAAATGGCAACTCCAGCAGTTTCCAGAAGGGATTAGCTTCTATGACCATTTGGGGCCTAATGTAAGCTGCAGTTGCTAGAATCACCTTTTACCACCTCTGTTTTTCCTCACCTTAATGACAAAAATGACTATGTAAGCCACTGTGATCTGATATGCTGTGTATAGCAACTACTGTACTGTATGTACAACCAGTCTGACACGAATGTCCAGCCTTTGTTAAAGTAAGGGCTCATGTACACTGTAGCTGATAAACTCACATTTAGGAGCTGTTCAGCATTTATTTTCAGCAGCCCCTGAACTCTCCCTAATGTTTTCCTATGTTTCCATGTACACATCGTCATATACAGGCATTTGAGTTTACAGTCGTTTTTCACTTGGTAACAAACTATCATGTGTTTTGGTGCTGCACGGTTTTAACCACTTCAAGTGAAGACACTTTTACCCCCTTCCTGTCCCGGCCAATTTTCAGCTTTTAGTGCTATCACACTTTGAATGACAATTGCGCGGTCGTGCAACACTGTACCCATATGAATATATTAGCATGTTTTTGAGACAGATAAAACTTTATTTTGGTGGTATTTATTCACCACCAGGATTTTTATTTTTTTTTTGTTATATAAATGAAAAAGTCCAAACGTTTTGAAAAAAAAGTGTTTTCCTTATAAAATTTTGCAAATAAATAATCTTTCTTTATAAATATTGGCCAAAATGTATTCAGCTATCTTTTTAGTAAAAAAAAAATAACCCAAATTAGTTTATAACCAAAAATTATAATTTAAAAAAAAAATGTTTTATATTATTTATTTATTTATTTTTACTTACTGTCACCCTAGCAGTATAGTGTCACCATAGTGATACTCTACTACTTGTGGGGGGTGATGAAGATTTTAATTTACATTTTTTTTATACACTGACTGCTTTTACACCCATAAAGGCTGTAAAAGCAATCATTTCTCCTTCTCTCTGACTGCATTCCTGCAGCCATGGAGAAATACTGTGCGAGCTGTGATTGGTCACAGCTTGTCACATGGTACAAGACTGTTGTGAATAGCCTTGTACCATGTGACCTCTGTGATCATTCACAGATTTCACTAGTAGTAAGCAATGTCAGGAAGTGACATCTTGTTTACTACTGTTCATGTGATCACTGATTGGCCAATCAGTGATCACATGATCGGGATCTCACACAGAGGTCCCGTACAGCGATTGGTGTTCTGGTGGCACTAGATTGCGGTGCTGCACGCTCCCAGGGAGCACGCACAGGCAGGGAAGCAGGAGGACATTTATAAATGGCCACCCACTCCTGCACTGCTCCCATCCGGTCGTTTATGTACATGGGCCGGACGGGAAGTGGTTAAAAAAGGGTCATGGACATCACTTGTGTGATTTAAGTGTTGTATGCAGCCCATTCAGATGAATGGGTTGCTGTACTACAGCGTGACAGCATGTGAAAAAACACACAGCAACACGTGTGCTGCTGCATCACACAATTATGAGCCTAGTCTAATACCTGCTGGCCAATACTAACATATATAAACAGTATCAATAAGCTATTTTCTGCTAGTCTGCTCTGATTGATTACATCATTTATAAATGGAATGATTACAAAAGTAACAGGCTAACATGGAAATGCTATATTTTTAATGTACTGCCAAACAATTGTTGTGCAAAAATTATTTTTGGAATGAGTTCACTCAAACAATATTATCAAACATACTGTGCTACTTTGTTCTGTAATGTGATCTGATGCTAAGCCAACATACCCATTGCACGCCATGCCAAACAGAAGAACAATGTGAAACACACAAAGGCCCAGTTCCATTCGTGGTTTGGTCCAACTGTGGACACACCCATGAAGATAAAGATCAAGGTTTCACTGACACTGCTCAGCATCTTCATGAAGTATTTGATGGTAGTGTAGGATTTCTGGGACACATTCTCTTCCACGTACTTATTCATAGACATGGCGCATGTTGTTATGCTGAAGAAAAAGAAATGTTTGTTTTGTTGAGGCCATTGCAATCCACTGCATGCTTGGTATGACAGGAAACTATGTTTGTTGCAGTGTCATTTAAAGCAGAACTAAACTCTCTCAATCAACATTAAAGGATAAGTTCACCTTTTGACAAAAAATAATAAATGCACATTTTTTTCCAGGTTAAAAAAAAAAGTGCATTTATTTAATTATTTTTTTGAACATGGAAAGCATTGCACCAGTGATCAGTAGATTGTGGGCGCTATGCAGGTCTCCTGCAGTATATCTGCTTGCCTGTACATCCTGTCAAGAAGAATCAATTAAAGCGGAGTTCCAACTAAAAAAAAAAAAAAAAAGTCAGCAGCTAAAAAAACTGTAGCTGCAAACTTTTAAAATACGGACACTTACCTGTCCAACGATCCAGCGGTGTCCTGACCACCGCTGATTTCACCAGGTGCCTTCTCTCCCTGGCGCCGGCATCTTCAGTGTGGGCACCCAGCTGTGACAGCTTGTGGCTTCACAGCCAGGTGCCCACTGCACATGCACGAGAAGTGCTGCGCTTTGTGACTGGCCCCGTAGCCTTCTGAGACCTGTCACATGTCCCAGAAAACTAAGAGAGGGAGGGAGGGGGAGGACAACTTCCATTTCCGATCGCCTAGGAGAACACAGTGGAAGTGGGAGCGGGTACCTGTCAAATTCGGGTACCCGCTCCCCAAAGGTGCCAATCCTTAAGCATTTAACTACCACAGAGCTCACAGCGCCATGGTAGTTTATTGAGAACTACAATCTGACAGCCACAGAATACTGTTTTTTTTTTAACATTTTGACAGCAGGAAGAGAAGATCCCCCGCTAGCTGTCAAAGCAGGGGGGAGCGAGCGAGGAGGAGCAGGGGTCAGTCCTTTCATAACATGTTACATGTTACACCCTAAATATGGGTGTAACATGTTACGAAAGGTGAACTTATCCTTTAACTATTTTTAATACGTATGCCAGTATCAGTACAGTATATTATAGTTACTCTACTTACATTTCTGCAGTTGCTTTCTGGTGTCTGGCCTAGACCAAAATGATGTCATACATCCCAGGCGTCATCATGGGCATTTTTTTACTTTCATCTGGAGAAGGGGCTTTCTCAGCTAAGCATGCATGCCTGAGCTAAGGGCAGATTCATTTCAGATAATAAATATGACATGAATTATCTGCCCTTACTCAAGATAGCCGCAGTTAGAAATGCTAGGGAAAGTAGTTTAAAGTAGTGTCTCAACAAAATAAAGCATGGAGACATAGAAAGATGGATAAGTTTGCTTTAAACATTAAAAAACAAATAGCATTTTCAGTTTGTGGTGCTTAGGTACAGTTTAGCTCAGCTGTAACACAATATATACGGTACATTACAAGTTGCTGCAAAACAGATCATTTATTAATACACAAATATACACATCTGATTACATTTCAAGATACCATATGTAAAAGTTTGAACTTTGGAAAAGCAGTATTTTCCATACACATTGGAAATTTTCTGTCCAGCAATCTGTAAGAATAATTCTGCTTACTATCTCTGTTATCAGCCTCTTTTAAAGTGTACCTTCATGTTGGCAGCCACCTTGGGACACCACACACTTTATATTTGTTACATGCTCCCATTCACATAGCATAACAGGAAAAAAATATTTAACAATGTTGTTTACCTTTTTACCTGCATAACAAATCCTGCGTAGCTTTCCTCTTCTATGTAATTCAAGGGTGCTCAACCTTTTGAGCGAGGGCCACTTAAGTGGTTTGATAACCAATCGCAGGCCAAAATGAACTATGGAGGTTTATACCGTTTTTAGAAAGCACACCAAACCTGCATGATATTATAGAAGTCTATGGCTCAGTGCAGCTAACCCACAGGAAAGCCACAGATGAACAGTGCCTCACCTGCGGGTCAATGTGAAGGCCGCCTAACAACCTTTTTTTCTAGATTTTAACCACTTGCCCTCCTGAGGCTTTACCTCTGACCAGGCCATTTTTTGATTTACGGAACTGCGTTACTTTAAATGACAATTGCGGGGTCATGCAACACTGCACCCAAATGAAATTTACGTCCTTTTTCCCCACAAATAGAGCTTTCTTTTGGTGGTATTTTATCGCCTTTACATTATTAATTTTTTGTGCTATAAACACAATTTTGAGAAATAAACAAATGTTTTTGACTTTTTGCTATTGAACATGTCCAATAAAAAAATTTTTAAAACACAAATTTCGCAATAAATTTTGGACAAAATTTATTCTGCTACATGCTAAAAAAAATTACCAATACGTGTACATTAATTGCTTTACGTGAAAGTTATAGCATTTACAAATGGCAGTATATATACTGGAATTTATTTTTTTAATTTTTTTTAATAGTAATGGCAGCGATCAGCGACTTATAGCGGGACTGCGGCGGGCATTCTGACACTGGGGGGAAATTAAATCACACCAATACAGTGATTAGTGCTAATAAAAAGCACTGACACTGTACTAATGGCACTGGGCAGGAAGGGGTTAACATGTGGGGCGATTAAAGGGTTAACTGTGTGCTGTTTCACATTATGTGCTGTGTGTGCTTTTAACTGTAAGCATACTGCTTTGTATGGCTTTGCTATGCAGAGCCATACATAGCATTGTGCAGGAGCTGACAGGGAAGAGAAATGTATTGTTTACATGCGCTGTTGATTCGAGCGGCGCGAGGTCGGTACTGTGCAGGCGCGACCGCGGTGGTTTTAAATGCTGGCGTCCTTGGGTTAGGATTCACCCCTTTGACAACGAGCGTGGCTCAAAACATGTTAAGGGATCCACCCAACAGACGCCATTTGATTATCAGGGAACCACTAATCACCAGGGAACCTCTTCGTTTGACCTGGGCTGTGTTTTCCCATTTTGTGAGTTCTTTACATTTGTTGCTGTTATTTACCCAATAAACAGACATACTTCACTATTATTGCCATTTTCTACTCTGGCTCGTTATTTACGAGCCCCATCAAGGTGGAGTGGTCTAGAGAAACGTCATTTGGAGAGGACTACGTTGGACCTACTGGCAAAATCGGCGACGATCTTGGGGGGGGGGTTCCACCATCCCTGAAAGTTTCGTTTGGTAACCGGATGCTGTCCTTTTTGCTGATCAGGCCCGGATGTCCATCTATACATACAACGCCCTGTTTGTATGTCTTTGTGGTAAGCGCAATCATTTACCAGATTCGTCCAGAAGCCTTATTGGATTTATTCAATATATTTGTACATTCACATCTTCACTTATGTGGAATTATTCATATTGTGACTGAGGATTTACTGTTATATCCATCTTTATATTGATGGTTGATACATTATCTAGCGCTGCATACCATTTGTATATTTTGTTTTTGGTGGTGTTGAGGTTTGCCTTGTGTGCTAGCTGCTGTTCAGATATTTGCGCTCACTTACCCTGTTTTTGTTTGTTAGTAATTAAAAACTACATGTGGCCCCGCCCAATCCTTACAATGCACTTGGGTCTGGGATGGATTTTGTGGGGGACCTCATGCCAAAAAAAAAAAAAAAAAATCATACCAAACTCTTATCTGAGCATGCAGCCTGGCAGGCCAAACCATACTAGGCCATAGGCCTTCAACATTTGGGGGGGTGCTTTGCCAAGGGGAGGGGGCTGGCAAAGCTCCTTGTCCCCATGTTTATGAAGACAAGGGCCTCTTCCTCACAATCCTGGCCTGCTGGTTGTGGGGATGCCCCCATGTTGAGGGCATGTGGCCTGGTATCGTTCAGGATGGGTGCACACTCATCCCACTCTTTCCTGGCCTGCTGGGCTGCATGCTCGGATAAGGGTCTGGTAGGAATTATGGGGAGGACCTCATGCCATTTTTTTTTCTATTTTTGACGTGAGGCGCCTTACAATCCATACCAGATCCAAAGGACCTGGTATGGATTGTAGGGGGAACCTCAGGTTATTTTTTTTTACTGTTGGCTCTTTTGTTTACATTCTGCTGCCAGCTGGGAATCCCCAGGTGACAGCAAATGAGTCACTGGTTGCTAAGGATGTGGCGGATGCCAGCTCCTTCACAACCAGCTATTCACGGTGGGTGCTGGCTCCTTAGTGATTGAACACATTTTTTAAATAGCATGTGGCTAGACAACAACATATTTAATGATTATATTTGTGTACTTTTTTTAAATTAATTTACTTTTACGCAGGTTTATGCAGTATTTACAAATTATTTCTTATTTTTTGGCAGGTACCCAATAAACCATAAACCAATAGTGAATTGAGATTTTATATATCGCATGCAATATTTAGATACATGACCCATATATTGTATGTTGATATCCTTTGAGAAAAAAAAAAGAAATATATGCACACACAAATGTTTTGCCTTGCATTTATATTACAAAGGTAATGGTTCACGTATAGTTTAAGGTCATGAGATGATTATGATCCCCCAACTTTAGAATTGTGACAAGGTCAGGTGATGACTGTCATGTCAACAGAAACCCCTGATCAATCATTTCCGAGGGAACAAGCACATAACCAGATGGAATATCTTCAGCTGCTGTTGCTGACATAAGAGCACAAGAGTTTAGATGTTCTCCTGCTGTCCTTCTCTATAGTCATTACCATGCTTGTTTGGGGAAAGAGAATATACAGCAAGGGTAGGCAAGCTTTAAGAGATGGAGATCTGGCTGAACAACATAGAGAAGATCAAAGATCACCGGGATGCGCCTTTTTAATTATTTATGGAAAAAAAAAATGAATAGCAAGCCCCCAATAATAAGTAAAGACCTATAATTCCTTCCATGGCCACAAACCAAAGTATCGTAACCATGGTGTGTGTACACCCCGGGAGCTGCCTCTACAGCTAAAGGGGCAGTAGTTGGCACAGACCAACCAGCTTTACAACAAAGAACCCCCCCCTCCCCAAAGCACATCCCTCCCCCCACCCAGTACAGACCCCACTTTCCAGGGTACACAACTGAAAGAACAGAGGATATCCAGCTCACAGTGAGAAGTCCAGAGAAAAGGAGGAGACTTGCTCTGGCACTGAGCTACCTTTCTCACTGAAGCCGCACAGAAAGTGTGGGCTCAGAGGGGCTAATATGGCCGCCTCACAGTTTTTTCTTTGTGTTACACAATGCTAAAGAAACTGCTGATGCACTTGCTACTTCAGTGAGAAAGGTAGCTCAGTGCCAGAGCAAGTTTCCTGCACTGCTCTGCCTGCCCAACTCCCTCCTTCACTGCTCCACCTGCCAGGCTTTCTCCTTCCCTGATCCTCCCACCTATCTCTCTCCTCCTCTGTTCCACCCAACCGGCTTGTTCCACCTCTGCTCTGCCCGCTGGGCTCTCTCCTTCCCTGACCCACCCGCCAGTTCTCTCCTCCACTGCTCCACCCACCTGTCTCTCTCCTTCCCTAATCCGCCCACCAGCTCTCTCCTCCCCTGCTCCGCACACCCAGCTCTCTCCTTCCCTACTCCACCTGCCCAGCCCTACCCCCTGACTTCTCACCCTGGTCTGCCAAGTACGCCACTGGGGAAGAGCAGTTTAGCCAGGGCTCAGCAATGCACCTGGCCATGTATGATGGGTAGATCATGATTGAAGGGTTACCGACCCCAGGCATACAGTATATTATACTGGCATGATCACTTAAAAAAAGACATTGATCAGGCTGTACCCGTTTGTCAGACTGCCATATAATGTATATGGGAAGAGCAATATACCAAGTTGGCTGCTTTGGCCAAAGGTGTCAAACTGGCCAAAAAACACTATACAGCATAACTATAGTGCTATACAAAAAAAAATACTAAATATCTACTGCTTATCCAAACAGCTTCAGGCCTACTGAATGTCAGAAACAATAATATGTAATTAGAGGCTTCCCAAACCTTCACAACTCCCATTATATTCTTGGACAATTGATATCTGCCTTGACACATTTCATGGTTATTGGATTAGAGTGATGGAGCTACCTTTTGGATATAAATGCTGATGGGTGTTCCCGACAGTCAGAGCCATGACCTGAGTCTCTGACCTGAATAAAAGAGAAGCTTTACAGCCATCTACTATCTCAATTTTTGTACAGCTATGGAAGATGTTTCATAAATAATGCTGAATAGCACGGTTTTCTATTGTACCTACTGTACATTAATGGGCTGACATAAATTGAACTATATCAGTAAAGAATGGTTGTTCTGTATGTTCTCAGGCAAACAGACTGTGTACAGCCCATCACTGACTTTAGAGTGGTAGCAAAGTGACATTTTTTTAGAATAAGCCACCCTCTGAACTGGAGTTTTCTCTCTCTCTCTCTCTCTCTCTCTCTCTCTCTCTCTCTCTCTCTCTCTCTCTCTCTCTCTCTCTCTCTCTATTTATTTATTTATTTATTTATACTGTACATGCCTTTGGAGCCATTGTGCCCTACTAGCATTCATTTCCAGCTGGGATATTGTGTGACTGAGAAGGGATTTTCAGCTTCCTGTGCCAGGAATACCAATACCCACATAGCTGATGTTACTCGAATGGTGCTACTCTGTCTCTTGGCTGTACTCTAGATCCAATTAATACTCAAACCCTTTTCACCTAGGCATATGTAAGTCAGGTCTTAGTATTAGATATTGTAATATCCAAATATTGCAATATTACAAAATTCAAAGTAAGGTTCCTGCATAGGTCAACTGGTCATTTAAGGCTCTCTGACTTTTGTACATGGCATCTGAACTATGTATGTATGTGTGAATTCTGAAAATGGCATTTCTACATAGTTACATTGCTGCACATTGCACCAATGTTAGTATGCATGTACCATGCCTTCTGAATCCCTATAGAAGCTGGAAATCACTGGAGTAGACACCACTACAAACATCTCCACTAATTTCTGGGTCCTGCTGCTTTATGGGCACAATAGGTCGGTAAAGCGTTTTCTAATTGGATGTTATGGAGAGTATGGTCAAACAAATATTTGCACTACTCAAGCAGCCACTGAAACAACTGTTATACCAATTGAAACTGTAACAAAACTAAAAAACAGCAGCGCTAAAATAGCCTTATGGAAGGCTTTAGGAAATCATATAACTAGATAAATAAATACGAGTGTGTATACAAAACTCACAGACATAAATACGGTAAGTGATTAAAAGTGTACAGTCATTAGTGATGCAGAAGTAATTAACTTTATATAATCATAACCCCAAATGGTGTCTTTATATCTGTTGGTGAACACCCTGTGGCTGGCCTTTCCCACCGAAGGATTACTCATTATGGACATTTTCTGAAATGTTTGGTAATATAAAGAATTTATCAAATTTTTCTTGTATGCGCAATTCACTTTATGATTGATTTCTATTCACCACTTGGGGTTATGATTATATAAAGTGAATTACTTCTGTATCTTATGATTGTATACTTTTAATCACTTATTTATTTTTGTGGGATGTGTATACACACTTGTATTTATTTATTTAGTTATATGATTTCCTATAGCCTTCCATAAGGCTATTTTAGTGCTGCTTTTTTTTTTGGTTTTGTAATCATTGAGAAAATATAAAGCATTCCTTGAATGCTTCCCCTGCTGAGTGAAAGACCTGTGTTCAGAATGCAGCCAGGCAGCTGCTCAGCACGGGACCGGAAGGCAGGTGGAGATCACTGCAGAAGTGGTGTCTATTACAGTAATTTCCAGCTTTTAGAGGGATTCCACAAGTATGGTATATGCATAGTGATATGATGTAATGTTGGGCAGGACAGACTAGGAGTCTCCTGGCTTGTCTATCAAATTATGATGAGATAGTTAGATGGACAGGTTGGGAGTCTGAGGCTACTGAGAGCCACCCACTGCAGCGAGGGGCAAAATAATGATGCTGCCACTGTTATCACCAAATTAATGTGTGGAAGTTACAAGACTGGTGGCCCATGGAAGCAGCGGGCACAGCAGCCATTGATTTTACACACAAGTTATAACTGACAATGAACCCTGGAAATGCTGAATTCCAATATAGATTTATAAATATTATAAAGATTTATTGGTGACTTCTGCTTTCCTTGAAAAAAAAAAAAAAACATATTTGGTAAAGGTAGGAATGGGCTTATTGAATAATGATTAAAAGTTCCTGCCTGGAGTTCAACTCAACAGTGTCTACTAAAGGAATTCTACCTACAAGATCTAATTTCTGACACTTTCCTCGACAGATTAATGACTATCTGTTATAGCTAGTGGTGCAATAAAAACTGATTAAGGCACTTGGAAAAATATAATAAAATCCACATGTGTTTTAGATAAGATTGTGGGAAAGGCTGACAGTGACTACTTGTATTATTTTATTACTCGCTCTTTACATAGGGCCTGTAAGCACTTATGGACATTACTCTAAAATCTAGAGAAAAGAAAAAAAGAAATTCCTGATGCAAGCCACCCTCCCCAAAATACTGTGCAAATTTGAGAAAGAACCCCCAGTTCTATGGGACTTTTAAGGCATCAATACATACAGTTAAAAGTATACAAAATCTTTATTTTGCATCGAATTTGTAAAATTTCCAAACATATAAAACATATAATACCAGCTGTTTCTTAAGGTCATATATATCATTACATAACCAGTATGAGATATTTGTTGGTTACAGAGTATGTCTATAGTAATCCGACACACACTCCAATATGCGTTGGATTACTATAGACAAACTCTGTAACCAACAAACATTGAATGATGGTGATGTAACGATATATATGACCTTCTGAAACAACTGATGTAATTTGTATACTTTTAACCATATGTATTGATGCCTTAAAAGTCCCATAGAACTGGGGGTTCTGTCTCAAATTTCTCTAAAATATATGCTTTGGAAAACACTGGAATCTTTTGATATTCTTATCTGAAAGTGCAGGTCACTGAATACCATACCAATCGGCCTTTGACAGGCTCCCTGCAGCAGAGCTGGACACTGCATCTGTCCCTCCTAGCTGCACTAGAAAGCCAGGAGGGACACACTGCATCTAGACGGTCCCATGTGCAAGGGGCCCTAATGGACCAACAACTATAACTCAAAGTTATGCTTTGTTAAGCAACCATAGACACACAAAGTGAGTGGTGATCTGTCTGCTAAGACATTTAGGGCTCTATTTACTAAAAGCAAATAGACTATGCACTTTGCAAGTTTGCATTTTAATAAATAAGGTAAGGCTTCACTTTGCAAAGAATACCCAATCACATGCAAGAAAAATAAAAACACAGCATTCGTGCTTGCACATGATTGGATAATGGAAGTCAGCAGAGCTTCTGCTCATTTCCTAAGCTCTGGAGCAATTGCTCTTGCTGAGTGCAACTGCATTTTGCAAAGGGCACAGTCTACTTGCCTTTAGTAAATCAAACTAAAGTGCTGAGCAAACTGTTGGTGCTATATAAATATATAAATCCTGTATAATAATAATAACCCCTTTAACTGCACTTAGCGGCTGATATCTTTTTTGTGTTACTGCACAACATTTCTCTTTGCCCTGCTTTGGTACGTATTCCCAATATATGTGTTAAGTATTGCATAATGTTACTACAAGTGTTACTATAAAATCATAATGACATATAATCACTCTATATTTTAATATTTAATACAAATTGAATTACTTACGCCATAATACCTGAAAGATGGAACATTTCTGCAGTTAAGTATGACAAATAGCTATACAGAAAAACAAAGAGAGGCTCAATCACACGGATATTGCGAGTGAATCGGGTGGTGAAGGCAGCTACAAATCCAAAAATGACTCCAATTAAAACTCCTCCTATTCCCACCAGAAAGAAACTCGCCATTCCAGAAAATATATCCACTATTTCAATTGTCTTCATTTCACAAAATGATTTGAATAAATTATACAGCACCTAGAAGCAGAAAGAAACACGTATAAGAAGGTATGACATATTTTGACACATATTCACTTACAGAAGATGTTGCATAAAGATTTTTATTTTAGGTTAGTTTTGGATAAAAATAGGAAAGGATTAGGCTCCATGTATACGAGCCTACCCTGACCGCCGGCTACGGGAAAACGCAAATCGTGGCAAAACCATGGCAAAATCGCGGTACCACGGTTTGCTGTGGTTTTGCTGTGATTTGCGGTTTCCTGCGGCCGGCGGTCAAAATGTTCCCATATGCAATCCTTCCATGTTCAAAAGAGGGAGGCTTAACCTCACCTAAATTTGGCAGCTCCTAAACTCTGCTAAAAGGCTATATGTACATAGACACACAGGCTTTTATGGAGTTGAGTTTAGGAGCGTTTTGTAAAAAAATGCCAAAAGCTCCTAAACTCGAGTTTAGATGATGCTCGTGTAGATGAAGACTAGGAACCCTAGTCTGTTTTTTATTGCTGTTTGTATCCCTCCAGGGAAAATTTTTCCCTTTTATTTGTCCTAGCGACCATTGCTACTGTGATGGGAAATCCAAAAATGTAATGAATAGATTGAACAATTTCCAAAGGGATTCAGATTACACTAAGAGGAGATCCCCCCTAACTTTGGAGAGATTTCCTACTTCTCTGTACATCTTTGGGCAAAATACTGAAAAGGGTTTTAATTCTTCACTACACAATCCAAAACCGACAAAAAGTTTGGTTGTAGATACACTTTTGAAAAGAAAATGAACATTGAGATTTCACATATAATGCTGACTTGGGATCTCAACAAGTTATACTATGGGAATTATTTCGAAAGCTGGAGAGTGCAAAATGACTCACTTCTGCATAGAAAGCCTAATTCCAGGCTCCTAAACTCATTAGTACAGTTAAAGGCTCAAAATATGCAGAAGGGAGTCTGATTTTTTTCTGTAAATAAACCCCTATGTGTCCTGGCGTTTTTAAGCACAGTTTTAGAGGAAGGCAAAAAAACCCCTAAATGCTCCTAAATGCTGCTAAACACTCTTAAGTTTGGTTCACACTACTGCAACCTAAAGTCGCGCGACTTACAGTGCAACTTTGCCAGGTATTTTTTTGAGTACTATTTTGAAGCGACTTTAAGTTACTTTGAAAACTTCAGGACCCTGAGTAATCTATATTGGATCAAATCACATCAATATAGACAGTACGACAGGAACTGCCATTAAAGAAATGGGCACAAGTCAGATAGAAGTAATTACAGGAAAATTGCTAAATACGACTTTAGTCTAAGTAAGACAGCATTGATTAACATGAGATTTCACATATAATGCGACTTGGGTCTCACAAGTCTATCGGTGTGAACTGAGCCTAATTGCTCCTAAACTCTAGTACAATAAAGGCTCAAAATAAGCCTTTTTTTCTGTAGGTACTGGCGGTTTTTTTTTAAGCCAATGTGCATTGAACCTAAATTACACTTTCTAGTTGGTTATTTTTTTCATTAACCACACTCACTCTATTTAAAGTGTTACTAAACCCAGGACCCTGCAGTCACTATATCTGGTCTCCCACAGTACACAGAACATGGAAATGCAATTATTTTAGTAATTATAAATTGCTAAATACCTTTTCTCATCAGCAGTGTATAGCATGCTTGTGACTTCTATCAGTGTCTAGCAGAGCACTGATTAAAGCTTGTAGGAGGAGTTTTCCTCCCCTGATTGTCCTATAGGCTGCATAACCCCTGACTCTCTGCCTGACAGCACTGATTGGCCCTATGCTGATCACATGCACTCTCCAAAGAAACAAAACCTCTCTAGCAATATACACTAATCTGAGCATGTGCAGAGTGACTCCTAGAGCTCAGCACATGGATTGGGGACAGTGGAAGAAGGGGAAGATTAGAATCTTGTGACTTCTATCAGTGTTCAGCCGAGCACTGGTTACCGCCTGTTGGAGGAGTTTTTTTTCTGCTCTAGGAGGATGCAGAACCCCTGACCTCTGTCTGGACAGTGCTGATTGTCCCTATGCTGATCATATGCACTTTCCCAAGAAAAGAAAAACCCTCTCCAACAATACACACCAAACTGAGCATGTGCAGAGTGACACGATATGTCTTAGCAGGAAATAAGAGGGGGGCACTGGAAGAAGGGGAGGATCAGAGAATTCAGTATCAAAAGTGTTTTTACTCAATGCAGAGGATTAACCCCTTAGGTTCCACAATGAGTACAAAAAGCATGCTTTACTGCATATACAAACTGATTTTACTGTTTTGGGTTTAGTAACACTTTATTAACTATTCTTAGTGTCCCATAAGTAAATGGAAGCAATCACATTTCATGTTAGTTAGGTAATAGTAATAAAAGATGAAATGTGATTATTTTACCAAGGGGCCCCTTTACCATATTAAATAAGCATACACCTATTTACAATGCAGGTTCTATTTAGCACAACATATTTTTTTTAGCAATGATCAATTCATACATTCCTTTAAAATATTTTTAAAAGGAGGAATTTTTTGGGTCTTTATGTAAATAAAGATAAAGTAATACAGGAAATTATATAAATTATAAATATAAAATTATGTAAATATGTGGGTTCTTTTTAGAAAATAGTTACTTTATTAGATAAGTACATTATTCTTTGTCTCACATCCTGCTTAAATTATATAACGAACACTCTAGAAAGGCCTCCTAAACATTTATCACCTCCTCAGCAAACTTCTGGACACTTCCTTCCAGGGATTGGCTGGAGCATGATAAATATTCATGCTGGTCATTGGACTCTCCCTGTTCTATATTCTAGAAGCTTGTTCCACAGGTGGGAGAAATCAAACAGCCTGGAAACCGTGACCAGACAAAAACAATTACCGGTACTTGCTGCTCCACTGACTACAGTAAAACCAAAAAAATAAGTTTAGCCTAACTGCCAAACTAGAGGAGGATGTTATATGAGTTACAAAAATCAAAAGCTGTAATGGAAAAATCTTTAATTACATGTATCTTTGTACTGGTGCTATGATATAGTCAATTCTTTAATAAAACTGATAATAATGATCATATAAATTATTACAGAGACCTCATGACCTTAGTTTAGGTGATCGGCACTTGAAGACTTACCACTGCCAACTTTACAAGTAGTTAAAATTAGATACTAGAGTGCAGTGATTTATTATTAGTTAATCACTGTGTCTGGCACATTTAGTGGATAATTAACCTTACTCCTGCCATAAAGTTTACACCGTATGACCTCTATTTTAATGTAGTTGTGCTAAATATTTTTAGTTCAGATCTTAAAGTGTTACTAAACCCAGGACCCTGCATTCACTATATCTGGTCTCCCACAGTACACACAACATGGAAATGTAATTATTTTAGTAAATATAAATGGCTAAATACCTTTTCTCATCAGCAGTTAGAGCAGTCTTGTGACTTCAGCAGAGCACTGGTTAAAGCTTGTAGGGAGAGTTTTCTTTCTGCTCTATAGGATGTGAAATCCCTGACCTTCTGTCTGGACAGTGCTGATTGGCCCTGTGCTGGTCACATGAACCCTCCCAAGAAAAAAAAAAACCTCTCTAGCGATACACACCAAACTGAGCATGTGCAGAGTGACTACAGATTCAATCTGTATCAGGTGGGTATTTCAACAAGAGGAGGGGCAGAGAAGTAAGGACCAAACAGCCTTTTTACACAATGCAGAGGATTAACCCATTAGGTTCCACAGTGAGTATACCAAGCATGCTTTACTTAATATACAGACTGATTTTACTGTTGTGGGTTTAGTAACTCTTTAAATATCAGTGTATTATTTTGCGCATCATAATGTCAACTTGTAAATCTTTGGGACTGGTTCTAAAAGTTCATTCTTGTTTTTTATTGAAAATAATAAACACATCATACTTACCTGCTCTGTACAGTTCACAGAGTAGCCTCAATCCTCCTCTTCTCAGGTTCCTCGCAGATGCTTCTGGCCCCTCCACCTTGCTGAGTGCTGCCAGAGCAAGCTGCTTGATCTGAGGTCACTCGTGTGTGCTCGCTTCCAAAACGGCTCTGTGTGTCCATGGGACACACAGCGTGGCTCACTCCTGCCCCCTGCTCCATGCACCCTCCCCACTGGCTGTGATTGACAATGGCTCCTGCTGCTGTATCTCATTCAATGGGGAGAGAGAGACCTGGGAGAGCCAAGGCTCTTGTGCACATTGCTGGATCGAGACTGAGCTCAGGTGAGTATTAGGGTGAGCTGAATGTGTGTTTTAGAGTTTTTTAGGCTTAAAGTGGTTGTAGACATGGAATATGAACACAGAATATCCCTCTACAGTATGTACTTGTCTCAATCCAGAGTACTAAGTGTCATTCCTGACTGCTGCCTCATTCCTCTGCTATCACTTCTTACAGGTTTTCCTGACACTAAGAGAAAAAAAGTGACAGGGAGGGAGTTCCAGCACACAGCCTGTGATTGACACTCTCAGCTTTGTTCCTATTGCTGGGTGAATAAGGTGTGTCCCTTCCCTCCAATCAGCTCTCAGAGCTCTTCTCACTGAGCTATGCAGTGTGTAATTTCAGCTCCTAGCCTCTTGCTTTCTGAAAGCTCAGACAAGCCATTCTGGATTTTGAACTTCTGTAAAGAAGAGAGGACTGCAGATAGACAACATATGTAGGAGGATTTGTTTAATCTCTTTGTATCATCTGAGGTCAGTCACTTCACTAGGTATATGTAAGGGTATACAATCACTTCAAGGTTAGGGGTTAAATATTAGCAAGATAATACATGTTAGGGATTACATCCAAGGGGACCATGGGTGATAGCAGGAATAACAATAATGTCTACTACAGCTTTGTAAGGGTACTGATATGTAATGGCAGTAAAACATAGTGTACATTTTTAAATAACAGTTGTATATGCAGGACATTTGTTTTAGACTCCGAAGGTGTTAAGGTAACCGTAGATTTGAACAATTCACCCTGCATATACACAACCACACCTACATGTTACATAGTTACATAGTTAGTCCGG